CGTTTATTTTCTTGCTACGAGTTATTTTTTCTTCAAGCAAAGGGGCCACCTCTTTGCGCTAGAGCTTTTTTCAAATCCCTTGCGGTTAATGCTCTTACCAGCGAACACAGACCGATTTCGGGCTTTTGTTTCACCACAGATCGAACAGAAGCCGGAAATCAATCTGTGTTCGCAGGTTATTAATACGTTTGCTTGCGATCTCGACGAACTGAAGACGAAATAGAGGGTCTGTGGATAGAGTTCGACAGACTAAAAGGAATATTTCACTTTTAATTTTTTGAACACATGTTTTTATTCTGTTTCAACGGCTCATTTGCATCTAATCTGCAACCTGTTACTTGTGACCAGCAGTTTACATTTTTCGGGCGTCAAACGCGCTTCACCGTAGTTGATTATTGAACTACCTGAAGTGACCTAATATGTAAGCGACTCAAACTCAGATCAAAGTAATCTCGATCAGTCTTAGGTCCAAAAAGAAGAGAACGAGGATCGTCTTCGATATTCTTTAGGTGGAGATCGAGAACGTTGGTTTGTGCTTGTCACGCACCATTATCACGCAACATACCATGTTACTTTTTCATTATTCACACGTGGCTACTTACCATAACAAGTTGGCTGTTGCCAAAGCGCCATTTCGTCTCGCATAGAAAACGGTCAAACCCACTGAGATGACCCTTACACACACACGAGAGAAAGCATGCCGTCGAACGATCTTCGCCATGACATTAATCCCGACCTTAACTGCGCTGATTTTTCTTGTTATCTGGAGACCGCTCTTGTTTACGTATTTCTTCAGATACACCAAGTTGATTGTTTCAGAAGCTTCCAAAGATGAAATGAGGAGGCAGGACAACAAACTAGAAGTGGCTTATAAGGAATGGAGAATGTATCAAATCGAGAGTAGTTTTGGCCAAGATTGGTGCAAACAGAAGAAAATCGAATCAAGAGGCGATGTAGCATGGCTAACCATCGTGGTCGACGACAAGTTTGCTATCCCTGCGCTGGTTCTTGGTCACTCCATTCGCACATTTTCTTGCCACAAGAACATGGTTGTGTTAATCTCGGAAAGAGTTAGCCAGGGTACAAGAAAAGCGCTTCAAAGTGTTGGCTGGGAGATTCGCTTAGTCGAAGAAATGGACTGCGATTGGTTGGACGCGAAATTAGGAGGAGATCGAAACGGTGGGTTGTTTGGGAAGCCACTTGGATACAGAATAAAAGGAACACACACGCGATTCCACGCGTGGAAATACACACAATATTC